CCTGGTTCCTTTTCCAGAGATGGAGAAAGAATGTGCCTTTATTTCTGAAGTTTATTTTAACAGTCTTCTATCCAGATACTTTTTATTCAAATTGAGTTCTATGATTTAAGACCTAGTCTAAGTAATCATATCCCTCTTTGTTGGAATCCATTGCTCTTCTGACGTCCAGTGAAAGTACAGTCCAAGTGCCATAAATAAGTGAGAATGCTCTTAGTAAATTGTGCAGCGTTAAACAGTCTTTTATGGTCACTAAAAAGCCCTGGGGGGAATCTTGTGCTCTTATAATACAAATGATGAGGACAGTGGTCCTCTCAGGCCATCACTGCTGTTTTGTTTTTTGGTTTGCAGCATCCTGTCCTCGATGGGACCCTGTCTGCTGGCACCTGGAGTGCTGACACCCGAGCTGCCTCCCCACACTCCCCACAGTCTTGTTCAGGACAGAGTGGCTAAGTGAATGAAGTTATGGGAAGACAAGTTTTAGGACAAAACTTTCCAAGGCTTCTCAGATAGCTCCCGATCCCACCACAACCCATCACAACCACCTCGCAGGCTTAGGAACGGTCAGTTATAATCCACTAGTTTTTCACAGAGGAAACATAGTTCCCCTCTACGTTGTCTGTAGCAGGGGATATGGGGAAGAATGGGGAAAGCAGATATCTAGCTGCCATCTCCAATGGTGACTGCTGAAAAAATAAGCTAATCGCCCATACAAGGTGAGAGGTACCTGTATTTCACATGGCCAAGAGTAGCAGTTCCCAACAGGGTCAGGGTCACCCAAGGGATGTGTTGGGCATGGGAGGGCACAGTGTGTTTTCAGTATTAGCAATAACTGGTTGGTGCCAATGGCATTTAACTCAGTAGAACTAGGGGTGGCATATTCTATGATGCGGAGCAGAGTCCCACACAGTAAGGAACTGTCACATACCCTGGCTCTCCATGTCTCACAACACGTTCTTGTGGGTCAAAGCTCTGTTTATAAATATCTGAGCTTAGAACCTGACTCTGTTTCACACACTAAGTAAATGCTTTTTGGACTGTTCTATCCCCCTGCTCCCCAGAGTGCTTACAGAAAAACTAGGTCAACGCTGGGCACACACTACTGGTTTAATAACAGAAAGAGGAAAAACAAGCAGCCTACCATTAGAAATAAAATGAAGTTTGCAGCTTTTTAAAAAAGGAAAGACCTGTTATTGAAGTTCGGAACTGTTCACATGCCTTCTAGAAATTTAGTCACACCAAGTTGGCAAGAACTGAAAGTCAAAATTTTGACTCTCAAGTGAGGGCAAGACAGGGAAATCAGACAACATCATTACCCCAGTAGAGATCCTGGAACTAGGAAAGGATGACACTATGATTTCACTGCTCAAGGAAACATAAAGGACATCTCCTACCCTATGAGTGGCACTCCGGTGCTATGTAACGTCTCACAGGTTTAACAGCTGCTACAAACATTAGCAACAGAGAGATGGTGCCGAGTCGTCTCTGTTATATTGGGACTTTACAGTAAACTCGATGTGTGAATAATGGAATGCAGTCATGCCAATCAGCCAGCAGTGGCATGAGTGGAGAAAGGCTCTGGTGACAGAGCTAAAATAGGTTGCCTGTGGTGGTGGCTTTGTTTTCCTATCTCTAGGGTGGACACATAGCTACTAATAAATGCCCACTCTCTGTGGCTATCCTGAAAATAGCTAAATGACCACAGGTTTTCAGACAGCTGTATTCTGATGTCATTCTCCCAAGTGCCATCTCCAAAAGCCAATGTGAAACATTACTATCTCCTTATTCAAGAACTTTCCACTTAACCATGCTAGCTCAGCAATGGATAAAGTAGCCAAAATACTTAGGTTCATGTTCTCTTTAGTCACTTTTAAAATGTTTGTCTTGATAAGTAAATGACCTTAAAAAACATTCATGCCACTCATAAAAAATAGGTCCTTGCATCACAGGCAGTTTTTTTTTTTAACCTTAAAAATAATGTCAGATTTAAGTATCTGACCTATGTTGTTCAGAGTTAAACACTGTTTTTAAAATCATACATCAACATGTACAAAGACAAAAAAGCAATGGTAAACAATTCAAACGTGACTGTAATTGTTACTGTAATAATATATGGAAAGTAAAATTTGAAGTTTAGATTGACATAAGAAAACAAAATAAAAATGTTATCCTAGGCCAGGTGGGGTGGCTCATGCCTGTAATCCCAGAGCACTTTGGAAGGCCAAGGTGAATGGATCGCCTGAGGTCAGGAGTTCGAGACCAGCCTGGCCAACATGGTAAAACCTCGTCTCTACTGAAAATACAAAAATTAGCCAGGCATAGTGGCAGGTGCCTGTAATCCCAGCTACTTGGGAGGCTGCGACAGGAAAATCGCTTGAACCTGGGAGGCAGAGGTTGCAGTGAGCCGAGACTGTGCCATTGCACTCCAGCCTGGGCAACAAGAGTAAAACTCTGTCTCAAAATAAAATATTATCCTAAAAAAAGGAGTCAGAATTAGAGCATAAAGTCCTCTCTGTACTGTGGTTTTTGTTTTTAGAAACATGAAACTCTGAGTAATGAAAAGCTAATAAATGTTCTAGCAGCAGTCACTTTCTGTACTTGAATATTAGTGAAATGACAAAACTTGTTTACAAATTGATATCATAAATGTAGAGTTGTATGGAAGCCTGTGGATACCAGTGGAGTGAATATGGCAGGGTTAGATACCCACTTAGGTTATGGATCTGAGAATCTCCAGTTACCCAGCCATATTTGTCAGCTTAACACCACTAGGCCCCTTTATCTGGTGACCACTCTGTCATTGTAATCTCCACTTCCTTCTCATGTTTAGTATTCAGCAGGAACAACTTCTGAAGCATGCCTACCTTCAGACATCTGTATTATCTTCCATGTGTGCCTGTGTGATAGACTATATTTTCAGTTGCCTAGAAACCAGCCTTTAACGGGTAGCTAAACTTCACTATTCTGCGTCTGGTAGGTGTTGTAAAATATCACATATTACTGATATACTTTGTGATTATTTTAATCCAACATTGTTTTCAAATTAGCTGTAAATATGCTACTGGGATAAATTCTGTATGATTTTTAAATTAACCACTCAGAGGAAGTATTGTTAGTGAGATGCCCTTTCTGTTATTATTTATTATTTTAATATTATGAATTTCTTGTGGCCAACCCTCTTCTCAGTCATTAGCAATACTTAAAATGCTGTCCTTTTGGATTTGGGTTTATAACATGTAACAAGGGTACAACTTCCTTCATGTACTGGATTTTGGATGTTGCATACTTTATCTGATGGGAAGCATTACTGATCAAGTACTAGATTGCATCATCACTACCGGGTCCCAATTTCTGAGCCCAGTGATACAGTCTGAAGCCTTACTTTGTGGCAGAAGCAACAAGACCAACATCTCTGATTTTCAACTCTTTGGAGCAGCCCTCTCCTCCTTCGAGAGGTGGATATAGCCAGCGTTCCCTGCCAGTCCCTCCTGCCTACTGTTTTCCCCGCTTCTTGGCCAATCGTGCTCTGCTCAGCTAACTTCCAGTTCTTCCCTCTGCTGGGTAGGGTTGGTCCCTGATACTGTTTGCACTAGGAATTTCAGATTCTCTTAGATGTCAGTTGTTTTCAGTACCTTAAAGAAAACAAAAGAATGGACTTTGTGTTTTCAGTAAGCAAGAATCCCAACACTTTTGGAGGCTCACACCTGTGATCCCAACACTTTTGGAGGCTGAGGTGGCAGAAGCCACTGAACTTAGGGGTTCAAGACCACCCTAGGCAACGCGGTTAGACACCATCTTTACAAAAGGTTTTTAAAAAATCAGCCAGGTTCTGTGACTTGCACCTATGGTCCCAGCTACTTGGGAAGCTAAGGCGGGAGGATCACCCAAGCCTGGGAGGTCAGGGCTGCAGTGAACTGTGTTTGTACCATTGCACTCCAGCCTGGGTGACAGAGTAAGACCCTGTCTCAAAATAAAAAAAACACCCAAAAACAAAACAAAGAATCATCTTAACATGATTTATAAAATACCTTGGGCAAAAAATTGTTCTGAAGTTGTGTACCCATTTTCTGATCTGCAAATGAGATTTTCATTACTCTTCAGAATGAGAATTAATGAGGATCCTTTAGTTCTCACAGGCTTTTCTTAAAATTAGTGTTTATTATGAACTTGCAGACATTGATAGGAAGACTTTTTGGACACACTTGAAACAAAATGTTAGCATATTTCTGGTTCCTAAATTAGCATAACAGCTCAGTATTTCTTATATATAGATATATAAAATATCTTCTGGCTTAATATGAAAAAATGTCAAACATATGAATACCAATTTGGATGGTGTATCTCTACTGTCAACAAACAGTAGTCTGCAGTGCTACTGGCAAAATAAAACCATATTTGAGAATGGCATTTAAAGTGGAGATACGTTTTTTCCTAAGTCAAGTATTGACTAAGATAAGACACTGGAAGTCTTCATGACACATGAGATTTAGTGAAATTTGTTGACCAAGAACATCTTTGAACAATGCCTCTTTTGAGGTTGCTACTGACTGTATTTGCTGGGCAATAAATATAACATTCTATTTTTGTATGATATTATAGTGTGTATGAGTGGGGAGCTTCCTGAACTTTGTGTTTTATGATACCATTTCAGAGATCATCAATACTTCTAGAAGCCATAATAATTTGCTATTTATTTGCAGCCAGGAATTGGTAATACTAGATGCTGTTAGTCAGTATGCTGGCCTATATAGTAAAAGTAACTTGTGACTGGTTATTAACTGAACAGGTTTTTCAGCACACACCTGTTTATGAGTTTTTGCTTTTTCCCTCCCAGAAAATTCAGGACTGAAAAAAGAAAAGCTAGAAGATTTTATGCATATATGTAAATTTATGCAAGTTTGTATAGACATACAAACACAAATACACTCAATTTCTATCCTCTTTCCTAGAAAACACTCTGTCATGTCTCAGAAACAGATATTAGAAATTTAAGAGAGAAAGAGAAAAAGATTATTTAAATTAGATTTTTGTTGTATTATGTGCTTGATGGTCAAAATAATTGAGTCGAGTAATCAATATAGTACATACCGTAAGTTGTCACCAGTTTAGTAAGTCAGCAAGATGAGAGGTGAAAGCTACTCTGCTAGTTGTTTTATTTTCTTTAAATGGAATCTTTTGGTGTCTGCAGTGTATTTTGCTTGGTGCCATAGTGCAGATAATTTTTTCTCTGACTTCTTCATCAGACCTCCCATGCCGCTAAATGTATGGGCAGAATGGTGAGTTGCAGGCAGGTCATTCACCCCTAAAGAAAACACTCCCAGGTCACAATATTTAACCCACATTATAACAACAGCTGCAGACTGGCATCCACATTGCAAAGTCATAGGCATCACAGTTTGTAGAAATTCCGCCTTGAAATCCCCCTACTTTATCCCTCAGAATTTTGATATGAGAAAGTTTCTGATATAATTAATAACCTATTTGTCTTGATTTTTTTCCTCTTAAGATCAAAAAATATTTTGAACTTGAACCACTTGCACGTGGAAAACGCTGGATTCTACAGCCCTGCTCACTGGATGACGTGGATGCACTGAAAGACAGCTTCTTTCAGCTGATAAATTTGTTAGAAGAAAAAGACCATGATGCTATCAGAATGTGAAATCTGGCAAAGAAAACGGGCTCCCCAAAGGCCTTGAACCTATCATGTTAGTTTCTCATTTTAATTTTATTTTGGTATCAAGACCATAATGGCTTCAGTATCTATTTTTCTCTGGTTTTTTCAGACTCTCATCTCTCTATTAAAGTGAATATTCTGTAGATCAGATGAATTATCATCGGCATTAACGTCAAGTACACACTACTGAGAGAATTTATTCTCTGTTTACCACTAATTATCTTCACCGCATGTCTCTTCCTTCTGTTGTTCTAAGCATCTCTTCTATGCTCTGTGTTAAAACGGATGGAATTCATGGCTTATGGAAATCAAATCCCTTTTGAAGGACTCAGAAAGACTCACAAGACCGTAATCATTTTTCCTGGGGTTGGGAGTGGAGTATTATGTGACTGGTACTCCACAAAATATGTATATTATTTTCAAGATCTCTTGGTGTGTGTGGGGGGGGTGTTTTATTTTATTTTATCTTATTTTTATTGGGTTTTTTTTTTTTTTTTTTTTTGGTATACTGAGCTTATAGACTATGAGAGAAAAGTGAGCACCAAAAACTTTAATTAATCCTCTTATCAGGAAGAAATATCCTGTCATAGTAAAATTGGCTCTGAAGAGCTTAGAGATAAGTTGCATAATGTTTTCTTGATTACATCTGAAGTGTCACTCCTCTCTTTTAAGAGCAAAGACATTGTTTCAGTTTCTGAGAGCAGTTAGAGGAAATGTAGGTACAATGCATGCATCACGGACTGTAATGGATTGAGTCGAGCCTTCAAATATTTTTTTAATGGAAAGATTAGCCTGCATAAAGTGAAACTGCAATGTAACATAGGTATCTTTTTTAAAAAACTGCAAGTGTTTAATTAAAATAGAGAAAATAATTTTTAAAATAATAGATACAAATTTTAAAAACAGCCAGAAAAAGCATAATTTATACTGGTTAGGGTTTAAGCTGGCATGGATTTGACAAACATAACAAAGAAAGAATTATCTATTCATTCATTATGTGCTACTATAGTTTATTGGAGTCTGTTAATGCCTTCCTCTAATAGTTAAAGGTTTATCAGTATTTCTGTTATAAACCTCTATTTTCAGGGGTTTCACTGTGCCCTTAAAAGTGTGTGGGGGCTGCAGCAAATAAATAATATTAGGACTCAGATTCAGTCTTTGGAACTAGTTCTCCCCCCGCCCCCCCGTTTAATTTAAATGATAAAATTGCATAGGGATAAATGTACTGTTTTGCTAAGGTTTAGCACCTTTGATCTTTTTTAAATCAGGAAAAAAATCTATGCATATTGAGGTTCATAGATGAAATATTCTTTGGCATACTTAATAGACTTTTGACCACTTAAAATACTAAGTGGCCAAATGATAAAAAACTGCTCCCTACACCTGAGTGATAAAAAATCTGTTTGTAATTTTTAGGAAACATAGACTGATATCCAAATATCACAGACTCACGCTATATGACAGAATGATGTAATACCTGGTAATTCTCCAGAAGATAGACTTCAGACCCGTAATGTCATTTAAATATAGTTTTTGTGGTTTAATTTTGTGAGTAGATTGTAATGAAATCGTTACCTTGGAAACATCAAACACTTCTTTAAGCTTCTTTTTTGTAATGTCATGAATCAAGAAGGACCCTTAGTGATTAATATACAATTTTGTCTACAGCGTCCTTGAATATTTTTAACACTGTGTAATCCGTGAGCAGCACAAAACTTTTATTCTGATGACCAGTTACACAATTCCTGTTTTTATTTTGTCCTCTTGTGCTCATCTTCTATGAGAAATAAATGACTGTTAGGCCTTGCTTTCCCTGCAAGTTCATTAAATGTAGAATGTTGTCTTTTAAAGACACCGTGGCTGAGTGCTCCTAAGCCATCTGTTAAATGACTTCCCGTGGTCTGTGTGTGTGTGTGTTCATGTGTGCGCCAGTGATGGGCTTCTCCTCAGACCCACGACTGTCTGCAGCGTCTCAGCCGTCAGAATGAAAACATTATCAATCAGTACCCAACAACAGCTGTTTTTGACAAGTTTCTGTCTGACGCCTAATGCTTTACAACTGTCAATAAGGCTCCCTCTTTGTCTAGCAGGTCGGAGCTCGCCGTCTTGCTGCTTCCCGGCAGCATCCTGTCCTTGTAACCCTAGAATTTGCCATGTTTTGGAAATCCACGTGGGGGCGGGGTGGGGCCTGAACGGGTGGGGTGGGTGGGTGGGTGGTGGGGTGGGATGGGTAGGGGAGGGAGTCGTACTCCTACTTTCGTGTAAAGTGCCACAGGTGTCTTGGTTTGCATATTCAAATATTATATAGGAAAAACTGTTATGTATTTCTTCACTTAGCTTCTTGTTATATTGATGGACGTTTCCAGTTTTTGTACCTTCTTAGCTAAAGCAGTTGCCTTTTTGTAATGGCAATAATTTATATGATAAAACTTTGTATCCACTGTAGTCGACAGTATTGGTTGCTAATTAACTGCCATATTGCCCTTTCTACTACAAAATACTGTACCTGTACTTAGAGGCTAACAGATTCATGTGGACATTTGCCAGGAAAGAACGTGTATTGTTCATGATTTCTATGATTTCCACTATCTTCAAAAAATAAACGCTGAGTAGAATTTATGTTTTCAGAGTAACTCCTTTCAGCTTTAGCATTTGGGAGTCCCAGATTTCTGTTTACATTTGTGTTGCCTGTTTGTCTCCGAAATAAGTTCTGCTGCTCTTGGGTCAAAACAAATGATTAATTCGCATTTCCTTTGAAGCCATTGTGAAAACCTTAAAAGGGAAAAAAAAAAAAAGCCAAGTATCTTTTCCAGTTGGTTTGTCTTTGGCAGCAATTTACTCTCATTGAAGCTGCTCCTTCAGAGTGTGTGAACAGACTCAAGATATTATTATAAAGCATCATCTTTCAATCAAAGGATTATTTTATAATATCTGCTATAAAATTAACTTGAGTGGCACAGTTTGGTGCAATGAATTATTTCCTTCAATGGTGATTGATGCTATTAAGAAATATTTTTAAGTGACTCAAGAGGAAATACTATCCATTTACAGGTCCATCCTTAAGGATGAAAGTATAAAAAAAGGGAGAAAGAAAAATCAAGTGGTAGATGGATGGAAGAAGAGAGAAAAAGAAGAAAATACATAATCGAAGATGAAAATTTTAAATCCCAACTTTTGCTTGGTCCCAAATGCAACATTGTCAACACTTAGTATTTGACGATACAGAGAGCTTACAACATTTCACTTCTAAGCTGGGATCTAACCTTCATTCCTAGGTTTATTTCTGGAGTAGGCAATTAGCAGTTATCAACTTCCTAAGCATCTCAGGCCTATTCAAGTAAATGTGAACAGAACTGTAAGATTTTGAAGCAAATGGGGTTTTCTTCATGTCCAGATTGCATATTCAGACTTGAATGGAAATCTAATATTTGTGCCTGGCTTCATCCTCTTTATAACTTTAGAGTGCATTTTCATTAACCCCCTGACCTAATGGTGCAAACAGAAATGAAAAGGTATGTGGGGTGGTGGGGCTGGAAGTGGGAGTTGCCCTTTGGGATCCCTCATTTTCAATGCATTTGGAAGGGAGGGTCTGTCTTTGTTATGCGGAAACTTTAGAATGTAGAGTCTCTGCCTTCCCTTGTTCCCCAGCCTGGCTCCTGGAGATCTGAAGTTAATGCTGTAAAATGCATTACCACATCATGTTGGGAATTCCTGCCTCCCAAGGGCTCACAGCTTTTGGTCACCAGTGAATCAGCATGATTAAATGATTTGCATGTCAGGGTTAAATGTTTTTCAACTCAGATGCATGAAGTGACTGATGAGCCCAAGGTTTGGCACCCTACCCCACACCCCCTTGTACTAATTTAGTAACATGAAAAGGATCCCTTGTAAGACTTAGAAGCCTCAGATGGGATATCAGTTTCCCCACCCCTTTCCTATTCTCTTTGAATTAAAACTTTAAATGAAAAACTTTTCTTCCACCTACTGTCTCATCGGATTTGGAAATTCTGACTTCCCTTTCTCGGGGTTCATCTGTGACAACTTCTCCATAATGTGACTTACTGTGAAACCAAGGCAAAGAAGTTAAAAGTCACGAAGAAGAATCTCTCCAATATGCCTTGTCTAGCATCCTCCTTTCCTTACAAAACAAAGAGAAATTAAAAGCCCATGATTTTTCTATCAGATTTTTCTCTGTAATCTCATCTCGCATTCCATCTCTGCTCCTCAAAGCATATTGTATTCACTGGCTCCTGGTTTAAAAAGGCCACCTACAGTGTTCTTAGGCTTACCCTGCCCCATCCCTTTCTTGCTCTACTTCTGAAGTCCTGACTGCAAACAGG